AGGAGATAAAAAAAATCGTGGTAAAAAAATTGTTAGTATTATTGACTAGGAATACCCACATGTTTGAAATTGCTCAAAGAATCAAAACTATTTAGAATTTTCAAATTATATATATTTCAAGTAAGTTTTATTATTAATGAAATTTTATATAAATAATATTGCATATTATAATAACCAGGAAGGCATTCTCATGAGGCAGCCTCGAAGGAAAGTTATTAGTGGACAAAGTCCTCAATAGAAAGATCTCTTGTGGCAAGTGACAGACAATGTCTCCACTCATAACCCCAATAAGGTCTGCTCATGAGGTAGCCTCGAAGGAAAGCTAGCAGTGGACAAGGTCCACACTAAAAAGACTAAATGAGAGATAGTGGTTGATATGGTCACCACTCATTTAAAAACCTTAGAAGGTAAAAGCCTCTGAATGCTCAGAATTATTTAAAAACTTTTAAAGGTAATGACTCAAAAGGAATATGTGTATATAAAATCTTAAAAATTTAATGACTTAAAAGATAGATGAACACCTAAAACCACAAAAGACAAAAGCCGCATAAGGTATAATATTATAAAAAACAAACTTTGAAGATATACACCTCAAAAGGCATAGGTACACCAAAAATCTTAGAAGATTAAAAACCTCAAAAGATATAGGTAAATCAAAAATCTTAAAAGCTTTAGAAGATATACATTTCTTTGAATCATCAATGTTAAAAGTTACAGAATGAAAAAATCCCTCTAATCTAGTTACTCTAACTAGGTGGGTGGGTGGGGGTATAGAATATATCAAAGCATATCTAAAAAATACACGAAAGAGTTAGTTTCTTCTAAAAGGTAAATTCACAAATAAAAAATATTCTTTCAAGAAGATGGAGTATTCATTACTTTAAATAAATGGAACATCAATTTCATGTAAACATCTAATTCACAAATGAAAATTATTCTTTCAAGAATATGGAGTATTCAACAACAACAACAACAACAACGTCAAGCCTTTGTCCCACTACGTGGGGTTGACTACATGAATCCTTTTCACCGTTGTGTCTGGTTAAAAGTCAAATTCTCATTTAAATCTAATAAAGAAAGATAATTTTTAATATTTTTTAACCAAGTCTTTTTAGGTATACCTTACCTTTCTTAACATAAGTCAAATCTAATACCGCAAGTTTCCTAACCGGGTCATCGAAAGACCTCCATTTAATATGACCAAACCATCTATGGCGGCTCTCTCTAATCTTACTTCCACTGGAGATACTCCAACTTTTTTACGTATATGCTCATTTTGTATCCTATCTCTAAGGGTCAAGCCACTCATCCACCTAAGCATCCTCATCTCTACAACACTTAACTGCATCCTCATCTATGCAACACTTAACTTAGTATTATGCTTCTCTTTTAATGGCCAACATTCGATACCATAAAGCATTGCAGGTCTCACCACCATCTTATAAAATTTTCCCTTAAATTTGAGGGGGACTTTTCTATCGCACAATAAACATGATACATTCCTCCACTTCAACCATCCAACTTGAATTATGCTGATAATATCCCCATTAATTTCACCATCACTCTAAACAATACTACAATATATCCAAGATATCTAAAACGTGTACTCTTATTCATGACTTGATCGCCCAAAGTCATAATCCCATCACTAGGTCTATTGCTAGCTACTAAAATTACACTCCATATATTCAGTTTTAGATCTACTCAAATGAAAACCATTAAACTCTAAAGTTGACCTCCATAAATGGAAAATCAAGTTCATGTAAACATCTCCTTCACAATTCAAAATTATTCTTTCAAGAAGATGGTGTATTCATTACTTCAAATAAATGTAACATCAAGTTCATGTAAATATTTCAAAGCCATATACAATGTTATTATATTTATATGATTATAAATCAGATTCAATCATACAATCGTCTTCATCTAAAAAGTTCATATAAGGAGTTAAAATTAGAATAACTTTCATCAACGTCATTTTATATACTATGAATCCTAGTGGAGGAGCATGTGCCCGGTTGGACCTTTATGGGAGCAATAATCAACACATTATAAAACTTATTACAAATCACCCAGACCATCCGACCTCCACTTAGTTGACAACATAAGTGAGGCACTAGATTGTTGGGATCGACATATTGTATGACCCCCTCCGTCAAGTTATTTATTGTTTATCTTTGTCAGTATACATACCTACTTTCTCCAACAAAATACAACCCTTGTTATCTTTGAAGCTATCCTTGGAACATAATTTTTTATTGGAGGTAATTAATATTCTTTTGTTATGGGTAGCTTGAGAGGAAAATTATTACTCTTGAGGGTTATCAAATTACTCAGTGTAACTTCTTTTATACAAAGAGGGGCACTGGAGCCTGATAGGGGATAACGCCTATTCAAGATAGTGAAATGCCTCTAATATAAGAAGAAGAGAAAAAGAAAAGGTGGGAATTCTTCTACAAAAGAGGGGCACTGAAGCTTGATAAGGGATACCACTTATCCAATACAATAGAACGCCTCTAATATAAGAAAAAATATAAATGAGAAGGAGAAGAAAGACAAACTACTCCTTCTACACAAGAGGGACACTAGAGCTTAATAGGGGATAGTGCATATTCAAGATAAGATAATGCCTCTAATGTAAGAAGAAGCATAAAGGAAAATAAGAAAAAGATAAAAATCGTTCATTCTCAAGAAGAGGGACACTGGAGCTTGATAGAGGATACCGCATATCTAAGACAATGGAATACCTCTAATGTAAGAATAACTAGAGAATAGAAGGAGGATAAATGCAAAAGAAGATTAAAGATAAGATGTGGTGCAAATTCCTTCTCCCATGAAAATCTATTTATACTTGATGGGGGCCTCATAATTTAAATGAGAGAATTATAAAGATTTATTAAAGAGAGTTACATGAATTAATGAAGGGAGTTATATGACTTTAAATAATAATGATAAGAAAAAACACACACACACACACACTCTCTCTCTCTCTCTCTTTAAAAAAAGTGACAACAAAAAAATCAAATGACTCCCCTATTAAGGTACCAACCAACGCAATCAACTGCATCATTTTTATGAAATACAGGCAATCACGAACTATAGGCATCCATACGAGGCGGTGAGGGAAACAGTGCGATAGTGCAGGTAGTAGCGAGGTAGCGTGGGTACCAACATCAATGCAAAGTGGTATATGACTGGTTAGCTAGCCGGCTCAATAGGCCTTAAATAATTTGGGCCCAATTTTGGACTCGAACATGCCTATTCTAATATTTTTTGGTCTCTAGATTGTTTTGCCATTTTGAACTCAATTTCTACAATTTAAGTGCCCAATAGAGCCTCTATATTCATTTTTGTGTAATTTAAAATATTTTAATGCAAAATTCTTCAATATTTTCTATCCAATCAATGCACCAACTCCTGTAAAGCTTGAATTATAATTAATGATATATTACTTGGTTAACTGTTTCAAGGGGAGGTCTACGTTGATATCTAGAAAGCGATCATACCTCATAATTATGTTAAAATTATAGGTCTACGTCGCAATATTTTTAAAAGATCAAACATATATTTTTAGGCTCCGTGAGCTTCAATGTCAAAAAAATTGGGAGATAAATTATACGTCACAAAAAATCACATTGATCAAGCACTAATCTCAAAGTGTATTTGAATTGGAAACTTTTAAAATAAAATTCTGGGCCATCCAAACTTTGATCACAGGAAACTTACATTCAAATGGAACGTCTCAACAAGATGAACCCAATGAAAACAAAATCAGTCTAATCCGATTCCAAATGGGCTTGAATCAAGGGGCTGAACATACTTGAAAGCTTCAAAGCACTAATTAAGTAACCAAATGATTTCCAAATATAACATGCTTATAGTAGAATTGAGCGACTCAACGAGCTCAAGTTCTCTTAGTTTTGACATCATTAAGATAAATAATTGATTAAAGCTCTATTATTGAAGGAATCAATATTGACTTTATGATGGAGCACTTCTAATTCACCCTAGATTTTCGACAGATTTACGAAGCATGCCACTCTTAAAAATGTATAAATAAGCCATCATTCTTCACATGAAGCAGGGGAAGGGAGGAGTAAGGAACAAGGGAGAGCACTTTAGCATTTTCCAGCTATCGCCGCCGCCGACAACCAATAGCTATTTCTACTAAGGATCAACATAAAAAATCTCTTCCATCTCTAAAGTATTGGCAATATTTAACCTTACTGTTGGGTATAAAAGTTCATCTCGCTATTGAGAAAATCAAACCATGTTATTGGGTATTAATTGTCATACTTGATTTTCTGTACTCTTCTTCTTCTCCAACAATAAAGAAAGGAAGATCTTTGTATCACTTACTATCCACTGAATTTTACAATTGAGTCAGGCTCCGTTGTTTTTATCTTTTCAGATGTTTCACGTAAAAAAATCTCAGGCCCTACTACTTTTATCTGTTCATGTTGAATCTTTGTATTATGATTAGACATGAATTACTAACTATATTGACTCAAATTTTATAGCACTCAACAAGTTTATATAACTTTTTATTTTTATCCTTTTGTGTTGCTACCTATATTTTTTTTTTCAAAAAAATCTCAAGATAATCTCCATATTTTTCTTATTTGTCTAATTTAATTCAAAACATCATATTCCTACAAATGTAATCTCTCGAGCATATAAAATTTATTTAAAAAAGTCACACGTATTGTAATTGTAATATAAAATTGATCTCTATTTAGTTCCAATGATTTCATTTTGGATCAATTTTGTATAACTGATAATTAAATTGACATACAATTATATTCATAGACTAAAATAATCATATGCAAATTATTAAAGGACCATTTTGAAAGTTAACCATTTTTTTTTCATTTATAATCTTGAGTTTTTTAACCTTACCCTTCCGGCCGTACTATTTTTTTGGTTCAGCAAGCGGCCTCCATTTGTATATATTTGTAATTTCAAAATTTTTTTGGGTTATGTTTTTTATTTCAAGTCAATTTAGCTCTCTTGCCCTAAAAAAAAAAAGCAAAGAAAGTTGACAGCGAAAATCGAGAAGGGGCGGCCGCGGAAACCCCACCACCGCCAAACCCCCGGCCCCTGGACGGATTCAATACCCTAGCTGACTTCGTGGATCGTTTCGGCGGGGCGATGGAGCTTCAGAACACTGTGAAGGAGGCGCTGGCCGTTCTCTACCACCATCCCGATGAATCCGTCCGGGCCCAGGCAGATCGCTGGCTTCAAGATTTTCAGCACACCATCGATGCCTGGCAGGTGCGTGATCGGTTTCTGACCTTCTTCCGCTCGTCTTCATTAGTATAGTACATTTTCCTTGTCTTAATTTTTCTTTCGAATCGGTGGTTTCAGTGCTTTATCATCTGGTTTAAGGGGGGCACGTGTTCGATTTTGGGAGGCACAAGACATCGTTGATTTCTGAATAGGGTTAGTGGGAAGTATTGGTTCTGTTTTTAGGACTCCTTTGTAAGTTTTGGGATCGGGGATTGGGAGATTTTGGTGGGAGAGCTTTAGCTGTTTGGCTACGAGTATGGTTTAACGCAAGTGTGGTTTAGCACATATTGTAAATCTGAATTTAGTGTATCCTGAGGGTGTTAACTTCTGAAAACTGTTTGGCATGATAGCTGTTAAATTTGGCTAAATTCTAGTAAACTGTTTGATTTTAGGATTTACATTGATATAATATTTATTTGGGAACTTAATAAGATTTCGATATTTGATGTTAAGCTTAAACTCATTAGAAAAAATTATAAACAGAAGGCAATATACGTATAAATATAATAATCATAACTAATTTCCCCTCAAGAATAAATTGTGTTATAATTTTATCAATAGGAGCTTATAATTTCAACTTCCTTAACTAGTATGCTGTTGTTTTGATATTAGTGATAGAATGTTTCAAGGATTTTTGGGTAGTAGTCATGATCAAACACATAATAGGAAAGTAAGGGAGAGTTATAAAGAAAAAGACAATGATGGTCTACCTAAATAAACAGTGAAGTATGCCTTCTAAGAGAGAATGAAAATAGTGGAGTGCTTTGCTGTCAGAAATCCGAATATTGAGGGAGAAGAGTCTAGATTTGGGAGTACATGAGAATGGTTTATGAGGGCTTTTAGATCCATGCGGAAAAGAGCAAAGTCTATAGGTAGAAGGCTTATGTGCTACGGAGAAGTCAAAATAAAGATAAAATGTGTTAAATCCATGTTCCAACAGGATCCACAATGTAACAAAAATTGTTTGAAAATTACATTTCATGGAATGGTAAAATTAAGCAATAAAAAAATGTATGGCAAGATTAAGGTTAAAACTGAAGTTGTATTTTGGATAAAACTTACTTCCAAACAACCCTAACTGTGGTGGAAATATAATTTTATTGCTATAGAGAAGATGGCATATGAGATTATACTATTTAAGTGATTTAGAATGGGTGAGTGGTGGCATATGCTTGAGAAAGTTTTGTGTAGATAAGAATACTTCCTCGTAAGGTCCATTTGATATTCATGCTCCTGAATTATTACGAGGTTATAATCCTTTTATGGTTTTAGGAAACTAGATTTATGCATTATGCAGGTTTAATTTTTTAATGGAGAAGGAAGTTAATGAAAGTGTTGTGTTTTTGTTCTGAAATAATTTTTTGGTGTTTTTTATTTCACATATGGTATGCATGCATGCCAATTGATGGAGTGCTTATGAAATATTGAGGTTAGGTTCAACTTGTTGGGCACAGTTGGGCAGCTTTATGTGTAAGAGCTCTGAAAAACAAAGTATTATTCAAGATTTAATTGCAATTTGTTGTTTTATTGGTTTGAATTTATCATCAAGATTTTTGGGGAATGCATGTCAAACAAAGTTGCATTTATGATTAAAGTTGTTGTATTAGTTAGAGTGTGACAAGAAATAGCTAAATTTACACTCTTTCCATGATTTGGTTTTATGCTAATTGTTTATAAAAATTTTTGCATTTGAACTTTTTGATTATTTTGATGGTGTGAACTTTTTGATTGATATCACATGTTTAAGTTGCTTGCTTTGAAGTGCCTTTGTTTTGGATTCTCTTTGGATCCTTACAATTAATGAAGCCCTTGGCTTGTTGATCGTATTTGGCTATATAAATCTCTCACATATAGTCTTTAAATATGTTTCTTGCACCATAATTGGTTTACTTGTTGGTTAAGTACACATTGTGGTTTGAAGTATAGTGTTATAAGATGTCTTAGTGTTTAGAGTTTTTGATGTAGATCTAGCATGCTATTTGGAATTGGATGCAGCTAAATAATGCAACAAACATTCAATTTTTGATAGGCACGAGTTAATAATCTTGAACAATCCCTACTTTAGTAATCTTTAAATTGAATTTTATTTTTGGTGATAGATTAATGTCCTAATTGAATTAATGGTTAAAATTTAATAATCTTATAAGCCATTAACACATTTAAAATCTTGTTCCATAGAAAGAAATTCAATTGATCAAATTCGATAAAAAACAATTAGACTTTCAAACCAATAATGGAAATATAAAAGAAGCCAGAGAGGGATAAAAAGGAAGAAGATAGAAAACAGTTAACATGGAAAGCAAGCATCATGATTGCATAAGGAGATAACTTTTTGTAAAATATTCAAATATCTCACTTGATCAATGATCTAAATACTAGAAGTAGAAGAAACGACACATCAAACTGTAAATTACATCTAAATGCTTAATATTTAGTTTTATACTTGCCCTTGAATTCCTATTTATATTTACAAAGCAAATAAGAATTTCACCCTCTCACTATTGCATAAGTATTGCTAATCAATCCTAGATCTTGGAAACAACGTATCAATAGAAATAACTTGAAACATAGAGTTTTGAAGTTGCAAGAATTGAACATAGCAAAAGAATTGCTAAGATGGCCAAAAGCTAGAAGTTTTGTTAAAAAACATAGAATAATTAACCACAGATATTATGGGAAAATCAAACATGGGATGCCACATGGAACATGAGACAAAAGAATTGTCACAGATGTGCCCCCAAAAGCTGAAAAAAAGTAGTTGATAGGGACTTGTGGTTGATGTGCATAAGAGTTAGACGAAGTTGAAAATGGAGAATTGGTTGCGATAATCAACATATGGGAATTATCCAGGCACTATTAGATTTGGGATGAAGTACAATACAAACCTTAATGATAGGTTAGCATCTCACTCATGCACTTGCAAACTCTTACTTAAATTTAAAATAATAGAAGTTCAAACTTAAAGTACAAATAGAAGTTCAATCTGAGTGATTGTTGTAGAGCAAAGTTTTTGCCAAAGACTTTTAATGTTTTTTTCTATATAAAAAATGAACAAGTTATAACTAACATTTAGTATGCAAGTTATAACTAACATTTAGTATGCAAGTTATTGATATTTGTCTCAATGTTTTAAAATGATCCTTCATTGCCTTTTTTTACTTTGATTTTTGACTTATTTCATAATTTTTTTCATATTCTTTGTATATGCAATGCCATAGATGTCATCATCTCTCTTTTTGAAAGTTGTATTTATGCCCTATAGAATTCGATTGCAATAATTCATGTAGGTATCTGATAATTTACTCCATGATGCTAGCAGCAATATAGAGACACTCATTTTCTGTTCCCAAACTCTCAGAAGCAAGGTAGTCTCAACCTTCGAAGAAATAATGGGCAAGGTTCATCGTACTTTAACTCAAGTTGTCTTTATTTCTTTGCTGAGGATTTTTTTTTTTGGATTTTTCCCATAATAGGTACAATGTGATTTTGAGGAGTTACCTTCGGAAGCATTTCGACCCTTACGAGATTCCTTATATGTAAGTTTTTATAGTTTTATGATAACTACGCTTTGGGTTTTGGGATGCGATTTCATCTCTTTAATTTGTATTGAAATCCTACTCCTGTTAACTGTCATGGACATAGATCTACAATCCATACGTTTAGTGGCTTACTTGATTATCATTTAAATTGCATGAATTTTAAATTTTTGTTGTTGTACTCAACAATCAATTTCTACTAGTTCTTTTAGCAATTGAGATTGTTCTGTGCCATATCATTTTAAGTGCCCAAAAAAGACATATAGCTTCATTTGATAATGTGATGTCTTCGTACATAAGTTGCAACAATTCTTGTAAAGATGGCTGAACAGCTCTGAAAGTGCATTCTTGTTGAAGGGGGCATGCTAGGAGTTGGGAGCGCTTGCTTCTCATGCCCTGCCCAAGTTAGTACTACTTTTTTAAAAGAAATTCAAATGAAGCTTTACCATGGATGACAAGAAATTGTAATAGGTAAAAATACTGAAAATAAATGATAATTAGAAAAGTATAGTTTGTCAAACTCTATATGCTTTTGAGCATCATTTTTTTCTAGGTTTATTTTTGTTTTCATTATCTAGGAACTTTGGTGTCATTTTTTACTTGATAAATGGCTTAGAGAGTACCAATTCCTTCTAAATTTCTTTTTTGCGGTGATGTCTGTGCTAAGTACTTGTTCTCATATTATGCTCGAAAAGGCAATGTATTGGAGTAACGAAGCATAATGAGAATCTTGAATCCTGAAGGAATGCATGGGTTAAAGGTTTAGTTTGTCTTTGACCTTGCTCTTGCTTATTATAGTTGACCATTATGGATGATGTTTATATAGTTTTAGGATCTTTTTGGTACAAATGTTACTTCTTGAAAAGTTAGATTATGAATTATTGGCGGAAAAAAAACCATGGTGAGAAGTAGTTGAAAATAGTAGATTTTTGTTTGGAAGTTCTGCGATTGAGTTGTAGTTTCTAACTCAGAAGCATTTTAATTTTTTTGTTTATAACATTTTAATTTTGCTGTAACAGTTAAAAGACTAATTTGCCCACAAATACAATCAAGTTTTAGACTTAGATAAACATTTTAGCAGTAAGAAAATTATCCACAGTGCATCAACAAGTTAACATAATAAATGTTTTACAATAAGTTTTAATAACTTAATCTGGCAACAACTCTAAAGCATAATGCCATTGATGGATTTTGAGCTTCCTCTTCATTATTTTGTAATTTTTGTACTAAAACTTTGTTTTAAGAAGCAATAAAAAGCCATCCTAAATGAAGCCTTTATACTCCAAACAATAACTCACATAATAAAGCACATCAATCCCATAGCACCTAAATGTCGGGTCCAAAATTGATCAAAGAGATGACATAGCTCCTTTATAATATTCATTGATTGAAAGTATGTTATATGCAATTATGAGAAAATAAAGACTGTTATTAATTACAATTACTAAATAAATATAGCTCATAATATGTTTGAACACTCACTAATAACCTAATTGAGTCACAATATGTTCACGCAACTCAATCTTTGCTGCCTCATATCTGCCAACAGCGTATTCATTATCATCTTCAATATCATTTGATTGGAAAATGCATTGGCCAATATGATATTATGCTTCAAGATGAACATGAGTTTCATCCTTATCGTACTATGTAAATTCAGGGCCCACTGAATTTTGGTATATTGATACAATTATTTGATTTCATCGTAGCAACATTATAAGTTCTTGTTCCTCAAATGAAAGTTGTAGTAAATTCAGGGTTCACTGAATAATGTTTATTGATAAAGTATGTGCTGTCATTATAGCAATGGTTATTAGTCTTTGTTTCTCAAATGAAAAGTTTGGCATGTCACTCCAATGTCCCATTTATTTTTCCATACATTGAATGATCCCTCAATGACGCATCTCAATAATGATTACCCTTGATTGAAAATCCCATAGGGCCCACATAATATATGCTTGAGTCATGCAAATTTGGTTAAATGTTATATTTTATACCTTTAAGGATTTAATAAATCCTAGTTGCAAAGGAGGTCTAAAATCCAGCATATAAAATTTGCATGTCTATATGGTTATTGAAAACCTCAAGTATGTCTACAAGATTTTAGTGTGGTCATTTAAGCTGGTGGGGGCATAGGAAATTACAAAGTATTATCACTTAAAGATCTATTGAAAAATTAACTATCATGTACATTACCTTCCATGAAAGTGCGCATTTTGCATTAATCAAAGTAAAACAAAAAAAAAAAATACAATGATAACAACTAAGTATGATTATAACTATCACTATCATCCTTCAACAAAGGCAAAAATGTTGAAGGAACATTTATCCTGAGTATCTTTCCAAAAGCATCTAGATAAAGTGGCTAATGAGGCACAAAAATCTGTCGCCTTATTGTTTTCTCATGTATATGGTGGAAAATAACTTGTTTAAACTAAACAAGAAAACTTATATCCTGATCCCAAGAAGCTTGATCCGTCTTCTTTCTATCTTCCATAGATTTCTGGAGCCATTCAATAACGAAGGCATTATCACTTTCTACAATAATCCCATCCAGATCCAGCATCCAATCCTCCATAGTCTCCTTGATAGTAGCTGCTGCAAGGAACTCAGCCCGGATGATATCCCATTGTTTAAACTGATGGCCTATGGTCATAACAAACTTGCCTACATTGTCTTTGATGACAACCCCAAGACTGGCACGGTTGGAGGGGAGAATAGTAGCTTCCACAGTACATTACCTTCCTAACCACACATGAAGTCCACTAAATAATATATCATACATAAGTAGAAATTGTTTCAACATCAAATATAACATCACACATCACACAAACAAATTAAGCCAAATTTAACCTTTAAGCTATTAAATACATTTCTTTTTATCTTTATGTTGGATGGGATTAATAGCAAACCCATGAATGTGCTAATCCTCCTCAACTTCCTTAGTTGAATATATTATTGATGTTGCCTTTGCTATGTTATCCCTAGAAGATTGCACTTGCATGCTTGGGGAGATTGCAATGGACATATTAGTTGCTAAGCCCTTAGGGGTTGTGTAGGTTCACTAGTGTTTTTTATTTTTTATTTTTATTGCTTATTTGATTTTATTTTTATTTTGATATAAAATAAATATATTTGATTTCTTAAAAATATGTAATTTTTTTATTTATGCGGTGTTAGAGGCAGTCACTTGCAGGTTAGTAGTGACAAATGATGAGGCGATTATGATGGTGGAGTTAGCAGTGGAAGTGGATTGACAGTGGTTTACTGGTGGCTGGTGGTGGTCACCATTGATAATGGCAGCAGCGGTGGCAGAGGCATTTGTAGGCGGTGGTGATGCCTGTTGATGGCATAGCCGTGGCGGCTTGATTTGGTTAATAAAAATAAAAATAGTTAAAAAATACAGTAAACAAACATGCTTTAAAAAATTAAAACAGAAGCAAAAGCAATCTCAAACATGCCCATAGTAAATTCATGTTTTTAACTTGCATAATGCCAACAACTACGAATTACCAAAAAACATTCATTTGTTGTATATGTTAAGAATTGTGGAAAGTTGCTCAAATTTTAACATTCAAATGTGTAATAGGTACAATATATGTATTATACTTCCGTATTTATGAAAAACACTCTTTTATCTTTCTCATTTTTGGCATATCACGGTTTAATTTTATTTTAAATAGATTTAATAATTTAAAATTTACTTGAATAAGCCTTATTTTTCGTATGATTTTTTTTTAAAGAAAATTCATATAATTCAATTGTGCATCCATATCCGTTTGATACCTGCCCCATGCTTTAGTAAGGTGGCATTAATTAGTTGACCAAGTTTTAACTGGGTGTTTCTTTGTAGCAGCTATTTTATTCTTCTTGTTTACCTTGTTCTAAGCCACTCAATCTCAGGTGATTGGAACCTCTAGAGGTGCCAATTGTTCATCGGATAAATACTTTGCTAATCTCACAATTTTGACAATTGTTGGCTTGCTGGTGATTAATATCGCTTTTACAGTACACTATTACCTTGTACTGTAATTTAGGATTATTTTTATATCATCCTTTACAACTATTTAATTGATTTTATTAGTTTTTAATTTGTATTGCTCAAAAGCTGTTTTGCACTTGATTTGCTAGCATAATGTATTGGCGTTTGTTTTATTTATACCTTTTGATTGGTTTGAAGCTTCCAAGTGCAGGCTTTGCTCAAGAACTTTAGCAAAGGACCCCCTAAAGTTAGGACCCAGGTATGACAAAAGTTTATCATGAAAGATTGATTATGTTTTTATTTATTTTAGTTCCGCATGCGGGTATAACTCCCTTTTCATCTCAGATCAGCATTGGCGTTGCTGCTTTGGCCGTGCATGTCTCTGTTGAAGACTGGGGAGATGGTGGCATTGTGGACTGGATCAGCAATGAAATGCGAACTCATTCTGAATATATCCCCGGCTTGTTAGAGTTGCTCACTGTTTTGCCAGAGGTATGGTACCTATCGGTCATGGCTTATTTATGCATGATGCAACTTGTTAGACTTGCATTGTGGGCTTGCTGAGATATGAAAGTTAAGAAATTGCTGAGTGACGACTCAGCATTCTGTAAAGCTTTAAACAAAATTGCACCTTAATCCCCTAGCTATATAAGCTTAAGCTTTGAACCATGTAACTTAGCCTTCATTAAGATTAGTTTAAACTCTATATATTTATTTACTATATTAAATAGAATGTTAGAGAACATACTGAGAGATTATCTTAAGCATTCATTTGAAAATGTATTCATAGAATGTTTATCCCAGAACATTACTAAAACTGGGATCATAATTTAGTAGGATGTCTTATTCTTTGGATTTCTTAAAACCCAGTTTTTTTTATTGTTATATGCTTTACCTCCAATCTACAAATGGTCTATTGAATTTGGGGCCTTATTTTGATAAGAACTAAAATGGAACTATTAATGTATTATATTTGCTTTACATTTCTTTGTTACTATTCGTTATTGTAATTTTTGGTTATTTTTGTCTTGGGTTTTAGATTGTTTTCAACTGTTCTATGCACTGAAATTTTGCTATGAAATTATTTTTAAATTTGTTCTGTGTTTTCAATTTTTTGTTTTTGTTTTAATACCTGCAAATATAATTGCTTGAATAATTTTTAGGAAAAAAAAAGTATAGTTGACGAGAGTATAGGAAATCTGAAATGGTTAAACATTTAGAATGAATAAATTGATAGAAAGAATTAAAATAAAAAACACCAATACATATTAAGCTATTATCAAGTAGTCATAGTCCCACTTAGCTGTGTTGAAAATTTATTTTATTTTCCATCACCATTGTTGGGTCAAATTTTTAGTTTCTTTATCAATGATCAAGCACTTTTCTTATGAATAACTATATCCTTTTTCAATCATCTGGGCCATGCTAAGAAGGTTATTTTTCAATTGAACAACATATAAAAAAATCATGAATGAATTTTTTTATCTTGTTTTGTTTCCGCTGCCATTGCTCCTATTTTTAGGCACTAGCATTCTGTTCTCTCTAAAAATTTCGGAATCCTTGAGATATTTCCTCATCATAATTTTTGTCACTTCTTCATTTGCTTATGTTTTGCAGAAATCTGTTACAAGATAACCATATTGCCTTCTAAGGTTTCACAGTTCAGCATTTCGATTTTAAATTTTATGCTAATATGTTATTCAAAATGAATTATATTTTCGTACCGGAAAGTTACGAGCTTTTACTATTACATTGACTTCCAAGGAATTTTCCTCTCTTTTGATCTTCCATGACCTTTATAGATTTAACCTGTTTCAGACTGCTAACTTCTCTCTGAACCATATTTTTGTTTCATTGTAATTTCTTCATTTGATTTGTGTGATTTTCATTCATGCGCTAAAACGGACTTTGTCCATTCTTTAGCAGAAAGATAATAGGCCCATCTGTCAATGCCTCTACTACTATAGAAATATGAACGAACTTTTGAGAAAAAATTCTTAAATTTTTTAGTTCTTTAAGAGGCATAATGATTTTCTATATGAGGCGTAATTATTAAAAATTATCTCTTTGAGTGATATGAGTCTTTTGTTCTCTAAACTTGATTCTTTGATAAGTTGAGAGTGAAATTGTAGAATAATAAAGCCCATGTCAAAATGAAGACACTCTAAATAATTCATGGATCAATTTGGTCATTTTCTCTTAAAGTTTTAAATCAGGTTCAAGTGTATGAAGTTTTAAAAAATTACATATTAAACATACCTTTTAAGGTGCTTTAAACTTGTTTTGAGACACTACCCCTATGACAGGAAATGATGTATCATGCATTGCTTGTTCAGGCATGGAGAAGTATTGACTAATTAAAAAAAAAAGAAAAAATGAAAAAAAAAAACAAAAACATATACACTGTTTCATAGAGCGAGCGAACAAACACATTGCTTCAGAAGCAACACACCCTTCTGATTAATACAACATATCACATAACAAAACATAAAAAAGAAAGAAGACTTGCGCTTAAGTCTTTGTTGTTCCCTCTCATTGTTCTGTCTTTCGCTCGTGCCTCCTTTGTCCGTCCCGCTGAGCCCATTCAACTGCAAACACCACCCGCATGCTACTTCCGCAGTCGACCCTAATCGAAACACTATCCACGTGACCCATTCTTCGCATGATACCACCCTCACTATCGCTCCCCGGGATCTGTATTGAAATACTTTCTTTTATGCTTTTTCTTTTTCATATTATTATCTTTTTAAACTCATTCTATTCATTTATCAACTAGATCGATAAACATCTAGAGCTGATTAATTGCATTAAATAAATATAAAGAGGATGATTTAAAATTGCGCAATATGAGGCTCGTCTTGAGGCCCGCCTTTGCGCAATTCCAATAAAAAACGCCTCGATGCTTATGCCTCAAGTTTTTTTTATGAGGCTTGCGCCTAAACTTGGTTTAGGCTTGCCTTGAGGCCCACCTTGCCTCACTGGTATGAGGCTTACGCCTCACGCTATATATATTAAAACTTACATAAATCTTGAAGTAAATGGTTGACATTGGACTCTATAAGAGAGGAGGAAAGGGAGTGAGTAGTTTATCATAATGATGATTCAAATGAAGAACCCCTTAGTGATGACAATGCTGATGACTTATGAGTTCTTATGTGATATGTCATTGCTATGTATTTTTGGAAATTGAAATTAAATATTAATGAAAAGAATACTAGGATTTGGGAAAGATAGAATTTTGAGTTGAACTATATTTCATGTTATCTTATTATTGGGATATTTTGATTTCACTTCATATCTCATACTTTTTTATGTTTTATATTATTCACTCATTAGTATATAAAAAATTTATCATTTTATGTTTATGCAATCTTTTGATTTTGAGGCTTATGCCTCAAAACGCCTTGAGGCTTACGCCTCGCCTCACGAATGAAAAACACCTCAATACCCAAATACGCAATTTTAAACATTGATAAAGAGTAAAAAAACATAATTCACATTATTGTAGTAGTCAATATTTAAACAACGTCATTAAAAAGTCCAAAACAGTACGTATAATAGCCTTCATAGGCTACATAAGAATATATAAACCAGAGAGTTGAAATAAAAATTACACTAGCATCCCAACTTAGCTTCAAGCTGAAGGTTCCTTACTTGAAATCATTTAAACCACGTAATGATCGAATAGCCTAGCAAGTAATTAAAATCATACAACTGAAATTAATGCAAGGCAAAAGAGAAACAATATGCTTTAAATCATATGAGAAAATATATACTGGTCACCTATATCAATTAATCATTCTGTCTTTGTCATACAATCAGTTTCATTCATTCATATAATTTAATCATTTTCATCAGTATAGCAATTGTACAGTACGGTAGTATCATTATCCGTATTCAGTAATGGTAAGCAGTAACTGTGATCAATATTCATATTCAATAATCAATAATAATTAGTATCAATAATCAATATTCTATCAGATATTCAAATGAGGGTATCTTGATCTTGATCTTGCTCTTGCCCTTATGACACCCGACTAGTCTTATTCAATCAATCTCAATTAGCATTCATTTTATCTTGTTAATAAGTCAATTTTATCAATGTTCATATATATATACTGACAATACTCTTATCGTTGAGGTATCAATATGTTCATCCGTACTCTTATCATTGATCTCATATCAGTCAGTAAGTTATTCTATCATATTAATTAGTATCATTTCAGTACATCACATCAATTATTTCATCTTATATCACATTTCAGCATTATCATGTCAAATCACTAAAAGATACTTTTCAACCTATTTTTAGTATGCATTTTCCCTACTAATTTCATCCATAAATTCCTATACATATTTAACCGATGAAAATGCAATAAAATCATATCATAGTTTTTAGAATGACCAAATCTATAATATATGAAAAGTTACACTTTGAAAGCTTACGAAATCAGGAGATTATGCTTTTTTAAAACATATTTAGGAGTGATAAATCCGTATAAATCAAAATAATTGAAAACATAAGTAAGATGATAGTTACTTATAATACTTAGAACAATTTTTGTAAAAGAAATGGTAGACGAAAATCGCCCGAAGACCCTCCTCTCTCTTCTTTTCTCTCCTTTTCGCCCTCTATTTCTTCCTGACCAAGGCAAATGAGAGTGAGGGGTGAGGGAGGCGGTGGGTTGGATTTAAGGGAAAAATATTAAAAATATATTTTAAGGGGCGTAGCAATGCAGCGCATAGTTCCAGCGCTTCATGCAGAAATTAGATTTACTATAGGACAGAGACACCAATGTCGCGGCGGCGATTTATGGCGCCTCAGTGTTCTCAACTCTAGCGCCGCAACGCTCACATGTACAACGCCAAAACTCTCTAGTTCGATCAACAAATCAAAATATCATATTTTTCATTTTAAATGCTTTTTGTATCTTTGAGTTATTACATGCACGAACCAATCGCGTGACCCATTCGCCATTCGTGCGGTTCGTCGTCTGCGCGCCACTTGATGCACGCTGCCTCCTACTAGTCATCTCGTGCATGCAGCTTGCCCACGCTCTTGTGTGATCCGTTATGATCTGACATATGCAAGGACCTCCATCCTGCAACTCGCACACCCCGTGCGTTCTACCTAGCTTGTCTTCGTGAGCCGCCTTGCACACGCCCTGACCAAACGCCCAAAACTTTGTTACTATTCTCTCTAATCGTAAGTACAAAGAATTCTCGTCTTTGCTCTAGTATAGTGCCCAACAAAGCCTTCAACTGCCTGTGAGTACAGGAACTCCACACGAGTGTTTGTATAAAGAAAGAAGAAAAATATACAATAATAGCAGCGGGTACCGCAACAATAAATCCAAGAGATTTGACATGAAGTTTTATATCGGGATAATCAGCGTCTTGAAGCCTTCAACTGTTGACTTTTTTTTTTTATCCAACGTAGTGGATTGAAACAACAAATGCCCTCCCTACCTCCCATCGTGGGGAGGGGACGTCGAGAGGATGTCGAATCTTCGAGGAAATAAAATTATAATATTTTCTTAATTAAATATATAACAGGTGCTTCGTTGGAAGACCATAAGACCTATACCTGGATTGATCAACATCCCGAAGCCCTTGATCGTCGAATTTGTAATTTGACTGGGCGGATTAAAAGAGCAAATGCCCTCTCAATCTCCCTTTGCTGGGAGGTTGCCAAATTTTCTAATATATATATAAAGAAAAAATTTCTGGTTGAGAGCTTGTGGAGAGCTTTTAAAAAAAACTTTTAGAGAGCTTTTGTGGAGCAAATTGAGAATAAATAAAAATTTATTTATTAAATTAATAGAAATTGATCCAACATCCAATTTTTATTAATTTAATTGAGCAATAATAAAAAATTATTTATAATTTTCTCCCAATTTGTTGATCAATCAATTAATTAATTGATTAAATAATTAAAGATGATAAAAATTCTTTTAAATAATTAATTAAGTTATTTATTAAAATAAAATGCAATAAAAAGAAAGGAAGAGAGAAATATAATCATTAAATTTTGCACTAAAATCATCTATTTTATAATGGTCCAACTTATCTGAACTCAAACTCTAAAACAACAAACTACGAACTCAAACTGTAAAACAACAAACTACAAGCTCAAACTGAAAGCTCAAAACTGAACTCTACAGGCTCACTCTCAAACCGAACAAACTACCAATTAAACAAAACAAACTCCATGCAAGCTCCTAGCAGTGCGGGCTCCAAATACCTGCAAACAAATAAACTAGAGGCTAACTCAGTACTGTAAACAAAACAATAGTGCTAAGGAAGAAAGCAAAGTGCCGTAACAAAACTACAGTAGATAAGGGCATATTACATGTAACTTGTAGTAAATGCTAGAGTGTAATGACATTAAGTTTGAGGTGACGAGGAATCCATGACTCTAGGGTCTCTGCTATACCTCGCATCAAGTGATTGAAGCAACAATGGGAGAAGGCTCTGAACTAGATTAGTTGTTGATTAGTTCAAATTGATCTTATTTGTACCATTGGGGTCAAAATGGGCTGAGCAATCTAAGTGCAAAGGGTGAGTTGCGTTGGCCTAGAAGTTTTAAGGAAAAAGAGAGTGTCACACTCACCAAAAGCAGGCCTTGCTTAATCCCACCTACTCAGAAATAAAGGAAACATTTTTTTTACAAGTCTGCCAAAATGGTCCTGAAATGATTTTGCATTAGGAAAATATATTTAAAGCTGTAGCAATGGTTTAAATCCAATTGATATCCACACACTCATATATATATATATATATTGTTCTGCATGCCCATAATTATTCATAGTTGCATACTCACTTAAATTTATACACTTCTATTCTCCTAAGAGGTGAGCACGCACATGCATCTTATCAATCATATCTATTTTTGGATCTGATATTTTCTAAGAATTATCTGATGATGTGTTGCCACATTCTTGTACTTGTTTGTGCTTGCTTATTACTGTAAACAACATAAGTGAATGGAATATAATGATTCATGAACCTTGCCCAATTTTGGTTGGATAATAATAATTATGGCAAAATTGTATGCATTATAGGAATACAGAGTTTTTCACTTGAGATATTAGTTTGGATTTGTTGGAAGGTTTCTTCCGCAATTTGTAACAGGCAATGATTGGACTGGCAATGAAGCCTGATGTCTACCATTTTTATTAAAATTTGTTATTTCTTATAGAGATACTTTTGTATTGTTGTTATCATATCCCACGGTATCATGTTTTTCCCTATACTCAAGTTTTTTAGTAAACCCTCCTTTACCAACAGGAAGCTTACAGCTATAGAATAGCAGCTCGTCCCGAAAGACGCCGCCATTTTGAGAAAGAACTTGCTTCATCTGCTGAAACTGCTTTCAGTCTCTTGACCGCTTGTTTGAATTTTGGTGAACTGAAAGACCAGGTAGGTTATACTTGCATCATTTTCTATGGTCTGTATTACTTTTTTTTGGGTATATTTTATTCTTCCTTCTTGAAAAGTTGTTTCTGTTTATATGCTGGTGATACTTTTTGCAGGCCCTCTCCCTTTTCTTTTAAAAAAATCTTCATCCAGCTTCTTGTTTATTTTCTTTGAAAATGATTGAGTTGAACAAATACCTGAAGGCTTTTTATCTTCATGGTCTTATGATTGAGAATAAGTTTCTTTTGTTTCAGTGCTTTTCATGTTTTGAATTGGGGGCTGCCTCATTGCCTCGTCTTATTCTTTGCTTTGTTGATGGCTTCATGAATGGGTATAATTGGAGCTTTTTGAGATAAGTGGTGTGGGGTGGAAAGTGGTTCAGTTAAATTTCAAAGAAATATCAGTATTTATCAAACTCTCTGGAGATTATTGCTGTGTTGGTTTCAACTATTGCCTTTTTCAAAAGTAAATCTACCTTATATGATACTTTTAAAGTTGGAAAGCTGTGGTCGAGAATAAAATATATTTGAAGGTAGAGAGCTTGCCTCCAAATAATAGAGGATAATATATAGATGGTGATTTCAAATGTTATTGTGCGAATAATAGCATCAAAATTAAGAGGACTTTTCTAAGAAAATCTCAATAGAATGATATTATCAAGAGAATGAAAAAAAAAAAAACATTAAATGACCGAGCTAGGAGCATGGGATAAAATGGTATGATCAAGTTAAAGCTATTACCATTGCAACATATTTAATCAACAGAGGCCTCTTAAGTATTGTTGCGTCTTGGAGTATTCGCGGCGGTAGAGAAATATATAGTTTAACGTCTTAGAATTATACAAAGATCCAAAACACAATCAATTAAGAGAGAGAGGGTGAAGTATTCATAAGATATACAAGAGTTTTTACGTGGAAACCCCTGAAAAGGGGGAAAAATCACGGGGCCTGGCCCAGTTTGAATGAATCCACTAGTATTTGTAGTTGATTACAAATGAGGCCCTTCCTTGGGAGAAGGCCTTGGCTTGATGATATAAATGTACATCATATAGAGCACATTACATGGTGGAAGTTACAATAATCAACATAAATGTGTTTGTTTGGTCGGCACGACCATATTCGATAGGATGGAGGCCGGAAAGATCATTGTTCGGTGATGGAGATTGGAAGGACCATAGTAGGTGATGTAGGTTGGAAGGACCGTAGTCGACAGGAGACAGTGGTCCAAAAGACCTTAGTTTGCAGGAGACCGGGGCCAGAAAGACCGTTGTCTGGCGATATAGGTCGGAAGGATCATAGTAGGCGACGGAGGTCAGAAGGACCGTAGTCGGCAGGAGATTGAGGTCAGAAAGACTGTTGTCTGGTGATGGAGGTCAGAAGGACCGTAGTCGGCAGGAGACTGAGGTCAGAAAGATCGTAGTAGAGTGACGGTACTTCCGGAGAACTCTCGGCATCAAGTGGTGGCCTGACAGAAGTCCGGGCCTCAAGTGGTGGTCCGAAGGAGCAACGACGTCAGGCGGTGGTCCGATGGAGGTGAGGGCCTCAAGTGGTGGTCCAGCGAAGCAACGGTGTCAAGCGGTAGTCCGGCAGAGGTGAGGGCCTCAAGTGGTGGTTCGACGGAGGTGAGGGCCTCAAGTGGTGGTCCGGCAGAGCAACGGCGTTAGGCGGTGGTCCGGCAGAGGTGAGGGCCTCAAGTGGTGGTCCGACAGAGCAACGCCGTCAAGTGGTGGTCCGGTTGAGGTGAGGGCCTCAAGTGGTATTCTGGCGGAGCAACGGCGTCAGGCAGTGGTTCGGCGGAGAAACGACGTTAGGCGGTGGTCTAACGGAGGTGAAAGCCTCAAGTGGTGGTCCGGTGGAAGTCTGGCGGTGGTCGAGGAGGAGCTTCTTCCTTCTCTTCCTTCTCTTATTTTTTCTCTCCCTTTCAAGAGGAAATGTGGTTCTATTTATAGAATTATTGAGTGGCATGACTTGTAAATAAGTGGAAGATCAAGGGTAAATTGTGAGTGGTTCGAATGGACGACCGATCTTGATTCTTACGATCATGTATCATTCAATGGACCTTTGACTGTCTTAATGATATCATAATTTGATGATCTTGGGCTTGTTGGATTTGTCTCGTCGAGCCGCTCGATTTGACTATAAGCATGTTATGATTGAAGACCGTTTGGTAACCCAAATTGTGGTTTGATACTTCCAAAAGCACTTCGAGTATTTGATTTGGACTCATTTGGGCTCGGATTGGGTCGATTTTGGTGTCGTTGGGTTCATGTTTCCGAGACGCTCGGTTTGACTGTAAGTTTGCTGAAATCGAAATTCGGATGGTCTCCAATTTAATATTTGATGTTTCCAGCTTGATTTTGCCTTGAGATTCGTGCTCGATCAAGGTAATTTTTTGATGATGTATCAAATATTAATGTGGTAAATCTTTCTTCCTTGAAAGTTTTTGGTTACATTTCTTATATTCATGTTGGTTCTACCACTTGAAGTAAATTTGATGCTAAATCTAAAAGATATTTCTTTATTTGCTATTGTGATACCAAGTTTATCGAGAGCATTGATGTTATCTTTAGTGAAGATATCTTATATAAAGATCGGTTGAAAGCAAACTCTGAAAGCTTTGAAGCTCTAATATCTTATATAAGGATAAGTTGAAGGCAAAATCTGATAGCTTTGCAGCTCAAAAGGTGAATGAAATTCCATTGAAATGCATTCATGTAGTTGAGATTGAAAATGTAAGTACTGCAAAATATAGCATAGGCCTTGAAGAAGATCAAAGAACCCCTGCTACTTCAGTCAAGAGGTATGATAGAATTCTCAGATCACAATTTTGTTGATTTATTGAGGTGAACCAGAGTTGCGATGAAGCCATGAAGAATAAATAATCAATCAAGTGGGAGTTGGCTATGAATGATGGTATGGATTTCACTTTATCTAATTAAACATGGCAGTTGACAGAATCACCAAAGGGAAAAAAGACCTTGCATAAGAAGTGGGTTTCTTAGTATAAAGAAGAACATGACAGAAGCAAGTGGTACAAGGCAATGTTATTTAAACGTTTTTAGTAGAAAATATGCATTATTTATGCAAAAATTTTCTCTCAAGTGGTGGAACTAACTGCAATCAGAATGGTATTTGCATTAGTGGCGAAAGAAGACTTGCATTTGAAATAGTTGGATGTAAAAACAACCTCTCTCATGGTGATTTGTAGGAGGAAGCCATTAGGATTCATAGCACAAGAAAAAAAGAGAATTGCAAACTTCATAAAAGTTTATACGGTCTCAAACAAGCATCATGACAGTTATACATTACATCTTTATAGTTTTATGGAAAGCAATGATTTCTTGAAGTATCGAGAAGGTCACCACTGCAATATAATGGCCTTCGGTAATTCAAATGCCATTTTATATTATATGTTGTTGATATGTTGATAATAGGTAGGTGAAAACAAGAAATCGGTAAGATGAAAAAAGCATTGTCTTAGGAGTTTGCAATGAAGGTTTTGAGTGTTATGTAGCAAATATTTTGGGATGAGATTTACATGGAATAATGATGTTTTGAAGCTATTACATGAAGAATATGTGAAGTGCCTAATAGGTTCAATATGCAAAATGCCAATCATGTAATTACTCATTTGGGTAGTCAATTTAATCTATCATGGAGCAAGCTCTTTTGATAGAGGTAAATGTACCTTGTGCTTGGCTGTCTTATGTATGGCATTGTATGCATCAAACTAGACATTGAGCAAGCAATGTGAGTTATAAATAGGTATATGAGTTAATCATGTAAAGAACACTGCGTGACAATGAAGGGGATTTTCAGGTATTTGCAAGGTACTGCAACTTATGCTCTATGTTTCAGGAAGTCTAACTTGGAACTATAAGTGATGTGATGCAAGCGTGGAGTTACACAAGATTATAAAAGAAAATTTACTATTAGCTTAACCTTTATAAAACCATGCATCCATTCAAAGTCAGTTACAAGAGTTCTCCGTGATCAATTTGCTTAGGCAAAGAATTACATGGAAATTAACCAAAACAATTTAATCAAATACAAAGGGGAAAGTAATGTTAAAGCTTATAACTTGAATCCAAAGATTAATAACAAGTTGTTCACCTTGAGACCTTCCTCTCTTTCCTACGAATCTAGGTTGAGCGGAGTAAGATCGTCCACACTAGAAATGAGGTCGCCACGATGAGGGAGGAGCCAAGGAACGTCGTTGTTGGAAAGGTCCTCGGAGGTGGAGGTGGCATGGAAGGATGACCGTGGATGATCCACTCGTAGTCTGAAAATTGGTCGTCGACGGCGTCCACAGGGGTGGGAAGGATTCGATTCAAATAATCCTTGATGGTGTCGTCAAAGCCAAATCCAACGTCGTAGAAAGGAGATCGAAGGACGTGGATGGCTCCGTAGATGTCGTATTCGAGTCCGTGATCAATGGCGGGATCGGCCATGCAACATGGACTTGAAGATGAGAGGTCACGAAGAAACCCAAGATAGAAGGTGGGGGCGGCTTGGAGAGGAGGGGAGGCCGGTGGTAGAGAGAGAGAGAAGGGTTGGGGTTTATTTTAGAAAACTGAAACTAATTTCAGTTTTAGAGAATTGGGAGGGAAATTATTTGAAATCCAATTTTGAATTCCCAAATCAAGGGGGAGGATTATTGCTCATTCAATGGGGAGAGCCATTAGAGGCCAGCGAGATCAATGAGGGGGCTAGGGTTTGTGGAGAAACTGAAATTAATTTTAGTTTTAAGAGAAATTGGAGGGAATTTTATTGAAATCAATTTCTAAATTTCAAATGAGGGAAGGAGCATTGAATGCTTTCAATGCAAACTCCCTAAGAAGGGGGGCCGACGGCTTTATGTGGGAGAGGGAGTTTGGGGAAAGAGGGGTGGGGGTTTCCAAATAGGGGTGATGATGTGGAAATAAAATTTAGTGACTCCAATTTAAATTAATTTGAAATTTGATTCAATCATAGAAACTTTCCTAAATTGGAATTCCAAATTAG